CAGTTTTTCACGCTGATTCAGAATATAATATTTTTAAAAGATTTGAGAAAACCGATGTCTTTGAAATTTTGTCATTTCTGAAAAAAAGTACGATATAGTTGTGTACATGACATTTTCAGTCATTCAACTTTTCCATCGAATTTCTCATCCAAACGATGATCAAATCGAATTAAAAAATATATATTCTTGACCACCTTTTCAAGCTCTATCAAACCATATATGAAAGAACAAAAAAAAAAATTCACTGAAATTTTGCCCTTTGCCGACCTTACATCCTTTGTTTACATGGAAAAAGAACATGAGAGTATTAATCGAAAATAAAGTCAATTTTTAGAAAAAGGAGAAATAAAGTATATTTCAAGAGAAAATATAAAGATGGAGAATTTTTCTTAATTTTTACTATAGTCAGATAGCGATTTTTATGAAAATAAGTTAAAGTTTTGTTGCAGGCTTTTCTTTATACTTCAGAAAAATGGAGAATAAAAATAGGTTATCTATCCCCTTTTCTTCTTAAAAGTGAAAACTTAAAGCACAATTTTTAAATTCAACTTTTAACTTTAAAGTTTTCTTGTATTAATTGTAAGCCTTTTTTTGTTCACCTTCTGAGACACGATTTCTATATTTGACTTGTTTCATCCTGTCAGATATGATGTTAGAACCGATTTAATTTGTTTTTTTTTCTTCTTAGGTGAGAAGGAGGAAGAATATTTTAAAAATGGTAGAAGTCACTACAGAAACTTGTTCATTTTACCAAGCAATTGCCCATGAAGTTTGCTACAAAAAAAGGTTCTTATCGTTTTTGAATCCGATATTTCCTTTAGTTTCTGCAATTGTTCTACAAATGGTCACTCCAGTGACCAAGAGGGGGTAAAGGGTTAAACATCCACTGAAAACAATTCTATCAAAAGAAGAAATAGATAAAGATGATATTATTCAACTTGAAACTATGTTAAATTTGACAAAATTATATATATCAGAACCAAACGAGTCGAGAAGAACAATTGAAAAGTACTGAAATCAACAGCTCACAAACCTGCTGATAAACGGAAAAAGATGTAATTCAGTGAGAGAAATATTCCTGAAGGAAGGAATAGGTGGTCAAGTCCACTTGGCCAAGTGAAACATAATTAGCTCTTATTAAAGTGTTAGTTTCTCGATAAGTAGCTGACTCCAGACGGCGGATACAGGATTCTACCGACGGAGTGGTGATTTCTAAACGATGTCGTCCGAGGTAGTATGAATATTTTTTTTAAGCAAGTCTCGTAGTGTACTCCCATTAGAATTCCATTTGCGAGGGGGGCGGCGGTCGCCGGATCGCCGTAGTACTAGATCCGCCACTGGCTGACTCTACGCTTGAAGTGATAGAATTTGCTATTGTAAGTGATCTGTTGCTTGAAGTGACAGATTTGTGGATAATCCACCTATGAATGGTTGATTTGTATAATTCTTAAATATCCCTGAAGAAAAAAGTTTTGTTAACAATGTAGTTTGTTTTGATTTGTAGAGATCTCTCTATTAAATAACAATTACTTAGTTTATCGATGAAATTTATTAAAAATACTCAAAATTTTATGTTTTTTAATGTGTTCATTGTTTTCATGAAGCTTTTCAGCGGAATCTGTTGTGCAGAGTAACGACAGGAATTTAGTAGTGATTTTAAGAATTATAGTGTATATTTCGGGAAATGAAAAAGTGGCGTTGAGTTCTATGATGACATTTAAAGTGAAAAATTTTCGTAATGGATTTCCTGACGCTAGGATTTAATCGTAGAAAATTTCCTATTAATTCAATTTAAGGAGTAAATAGAATTTTGGAGAATTATAAATGGAAAGTATTTCTTCATTCAGGACGAAATAAACGATAACACTTTAAGGAAATCAAGGAAAAGGTATCAACATTCTTGTGAAAATAACGGCCATACGCTAGAATTTCTAGAAGTTGTAAAACGTAACAAACCTCAAGAATAGGAGAATATAGTGCTGGGAAAAGCCTGCCGTTTCCAAGTGTTCAGGCTGACACACCATACAAGTTGATGTGACGGTATGTCTCTAAAATGCGGAGCACATCAGTTACTGCTACCAACAAGCGACATCTCTCAATTTCAACAACGAATTTCAGCACAGTAATTCTTAAACTAAGGTTAAATGATATTTACCCAAATCAGCCTTTAATTCATAACTTTATATCAAATTTCAAAGAGATCAGAAGTTAATGATGGACTACAAAATACAGCTGATTCTCTTCTAGCAACTTTCTCTTCTAGCTTATCTTAACCCAGACAACGGTCGTGACTAAAAATTGGAAGTTGGAATGGAAGTTGGAAGATGACCGATTGGTTGAAATTTTAGTACCTAGTAATGCAATTTGAAACTGAAATCGTATTTTAAAAGAAAATATTGCCGTTTATCAAAGACTTTAATAACTCTGAGTTCTATCAGAACATCATGTTTTCTTTTTGTTTCCATGGCCAGCGACGATAGGTGACGCCAAGTACAACGTGTAATGATCTAAGTCGTCTTAAACCGAGGGTGTTAGATTCGAGGATAATTAATCTCTTTCCACAAAAATCTGAACTTTAGCAACTATAGGCTTCTAGGAGAATCTCAGATCGAAAGGTTATTTTTATTGCAAAAACGTACCAACTTCTAGTCGACGAACAATGATGTGCTATTATTTCCAAAAAAATAGCACATCTAATATGATTAATCACTACCCTACTGAATGTTCTTGATACAAGTACTTGATCACCTGATGAGTACTTGGAAAGTGCATGACACTTTCCAAGTACTCATCCTTGTACTTTAGCAAGAACTTGTCAAGCGTCGTTATTTGACTTGCTTCAGCCATGTACTTGGACAAGTCAGTTATTCTTTTTTTTGCGTTGCCCACAGGTATATAAACACCACAATAACCCAAGTACTTATTCACTCGGATAAGACTTGAACGGGCTTTCATTTATAATAGGTTCCAACGTTTAGGTAAAAACCAATACAAGGTCTGAAACACCATCAGCAAAGCAAGCTGAAGTTGTTTAAAACATCTTAATTCTTGTGAAATTCAAATCGTTAATAAGTGTTTATACTGTCACAGATTTTATTATTTATAAGAAAAGTCAAAAAGGTCAAAAAAGTCAAAAGTCAAAAATCATCGTCACTGATATTTGGTATATTCGCCAATAGTGTTCGACACTAAAACACAGCAAAGCATTCACCATCTTAGAGGGAACGTACGAGATGGTAGAGGCGTACTTGAGCAACTTTTGTTGGTTTTTTAACTAATTTTGTCTGGACTATTTTCGTTGAATTTGTTGGCTATAAGTAAAGAGAGAGGAACGATTGATAGTTGAAAATAATAACCATATAGTGTATAATTACCGTCTCTTTATCCAAAACTTTTGGCGTTTTTGTACCCGACTTTTTGATATTCTTTTCCAGTTTTGATGCCTCTCTCAATTTTTCCATATTAGGTTTCGGTTGGATAATTGGCAATTCAGCATTTCGTTTTGCAGCCATTATGTGGCTACAATCGCCGCCTTTCTTGTTGACCCGGAAGAACGGACATGTGCACGTAGATATCGAATGATTATGTTTATCGACCTGTCTAAAATCCACCATTTGAACTTCGCTTTTAGCTTTGTTCTCCACGATCCATACCCCTAAAGAACCGAAAACGAAAGACACTGTACAAGTAGAACCTTTATTTGTGTGATGCAATAAATACGAGCTAATCTGTCAGATCTAACAGTATCATCGCTGACAAATATTTCAGACAATTGAAACGCTGTTAATGGTTTCGGTTTGTCTTCCTGGACCGGGTACATTTTTAAATTCATTATCCAATCGTCTTATGTTGTTAATGATTTCATTTGGATTAATCAGATCCAATGTTAACAAAATCGATTTGTCCATCGCCAACATACCAAACTCCTCACGCAATCGATAGTCACCTGAAGTGAAAATAAATCGAATTAAGCTGAAGCCCGAAAATTCTGAGCTTTAGCAGCTAACATACCAAGATCACAATATCCTCGATAAATCTCTACCCCACACAACTGTTGAAGCTTATTGAGTATCAACACAAGACGACCCAGCGTCACTGAGCGCCATGCAGTTAGCTCCTTGAAGACGAAATTTACGCCTTCAATCGCATTACTTGTCACCATCTTCGGAAATTCAGGTTGTAAATTATGCAAATTTACAATCCAACATCCTTTAAATGATATAAAATTCACCTTCATGTAGATAGCAAATACAATATAGAAAATTCTTAAAGGTATTTTCCTCTCTACAAAATCGATACTTCAGAAAATCGAATGCATTTTCTATACAATATAAAACCCGGATTGTTAATGTACTGAAAAATCCTCAACAATTCTGTACTAGTCCGAATAACTCCGACGATAGTGATCTGCTCTTTTATTTCATTTTAACTGAATTATTCTGGGAAAACTAAAATAAGTAACGCTTAGTTACCTAACTTCATACGCTACATGAAGTTTTCACTTTTAGTGATTAAAAGTATTAAAAAAGTTACCATACAAAATATCTACTACAAAAAAATGTCTTTAGACATTACGTCCAGTACATATTTCACCAAAGAAATCTTCTATACAGAACAAAAAAAATAGTCTAGAAAAAGTCTCGGAAAGTTTTGCTACCGGCACTTTTATATCGAGACTATTCGAGACCGAAACTTTCGAGACTCGAGACTACTCGAGACTAAAGTTTCGGGTATCGAGTACCCCGTCTCAGTGCATCCCTACTTCCGTATGGTATGGCTGTATTGCTACATCCACAAGCCACGAGAGAATAACGAAATTATTACACCGAGGCTGTCACTTATCTATATTCTCTGGCAAGCTTCTGTATACTCCAATATTCTTTTGAGTTTGTGTAAATAATCCATAGTGATAAAACATGGATTATTCTATCATTAATAGTAGAGTTAATAAGCGCTTTCAGAACCATTTTCTACGACACACATCTGACAACAGTTTTGTCTTTTATTCTCCTTCGTTTTTTCCAAAGCAGCACTCAAATTTTTTCATGCTGTTTGTAGAACTAAATTTCCTTTATATTCGCATCACGATATGACAGATATCGATTAAGTAGATCAATGTGCCTGAATAGTCTAGTCGGTAAATGCTTCGTAAGTATATACATTAATCTATATAATATAATATGCTGTGATACGAAGTAGTCGAGTCCGACTTTAGTAGGCAAACATTGTTTATTTTACTTTTTGTATCTAGCTGCAGCGATCTGAACTAGATGCAGAAACTGTGAAAAAAAAATCGATGCAAAAGGCGATGTACTGTTGATATATCGCGCTAAATATCGCTTTTTTTACCGTTTTAGTATCTTTTATAACTGTTGTGGATTGACTTTGTGTATTATACAATATTTTATACAATATTATTCATTCAAATATTCGTTTCTATAAAATACAAAATCTCAACGAATAATTGCTTACTACTATCGATGCTATTTAAAGTATTTTGGGTGATTATAATTGTAACAGAACTTATCCTGAAGTTTTATTCATTTATTTCGACGAAATACATTTGTCATTTCAAGAAAAATAAACGACTCGATCGTAAGGAAGACGGAAAAAAAAGGCTTCAAAAAATACTCACTGTTGTCTGGTTTGTCAAGATTACACATGTGATGTGGCAGAAAAAAGTTTAACAAGATTGTTGATGTCCCAGCACGCTCCATTTTAAAATCCAATGCAAACGGGATTCCTATCGCTTACTAAGGTTGAGCAAACACTACTCTTCAAAATGAGACTTTCCGCAGTCGTACACAACCTTTTTTGGTTAAGTTATGGCTTTTACACTACAAACTCCGCAGCGATCGTTAGCCTATAACAACTCCTTTTTTCAACAATGTTGCTGTTGGGACTTGCACTGCAAAAGCCGTAACTCAATGAGAAAGGGTTGTGTAAAGCTTAGAAAGGTCTCATTTTGAAGAGAAGTGTTTGTTTGATCTTACTAAATGATAGAAACAATGTTCGCATTGTGTTTTAAAAAGGAAGGTTTTGTGATATCATGGAGTTATGAAAACCTTTGTTTCTTTACGTCACAGTTAAGTTGACATTTTTTGTATCATACATATACGCGCATCCCAGTCAGCACTATACGAATCTAACACCACATTTATTGTGGCTACTACAGTTCATGAGAAAGAACAAAAGCAATCTTTTGTTAGACTTTTTTCTGCCACATCACATGTGTAATCTTGACAAACCAGACACCAGTGAATATTTTTTGAAGCCCGTTTTTTCCCTCCTTTCTTACGATCGAAGCGTTTATTTTTCTTGAAACGGCAAATGTATTTCGTCGAAATAAATGAATAAAACTTCAGAATAAGCTCTGTTACAATTACAATCACTCAAAATACTTTAAATAGCATCGATAGTGGTAAGCACGCCTGCCAATAAATAAGGAACTTTGTGCTCATAAGCTGAGACCTTTTCTAATCAAAAGATCCATAGGCACTATCAACAGTACCATTCTATAAACATCTTGGACTGATGTCATATGAATCCCTCGAAAAGGATGTTCTTGGGCACTGACCCTTCCGGAGAAAAATATTCCAAAGATGGTTTTGATTCTGCCGGCCGATTAAAGCATTTTTGTTCTGCTTCAGAGGATGCTGCGAGTTCAGATTTATCAGCAGAGAGCAATGGGGCGAGGTCGAGCGTGTTTTATCTAGCATGCCGGAGTAATGAGATTAACACATGGCATCAGACGAAATCAGTCGAATCGAGCGAAATGGTTCCACAGCATTACATGTGGCGGGTTACAATGGGCATATCGATATTGTTCAGTTACTGTTAGCCCACGGAGCAGATCAACAATCAAAAATAAGTACCAATGTACACCATCAGATGAAGCAGCAACAGATGAAATAAAACAGTTGTTTAACTGTTTAACCCGTAATTATTTTGGTGCTGAATAATAGATCAAGATCAAATGGATAGAAATTGGTCAAGATGTTACTAGCAGATATCCTATTACTGATGAATATGTATTGCGCAGAAGCATCATTCTATAGAAACTTAAATACCGATTTAGCAAAGTGTGGGAGAATTCATACAAAAGAAAATACCGTGTCAGGTGCTTATGTACTTACTGCTATAATTGCTCATTACGAAACTAAAGCAATATTACTACAAGGGCTTAACATTTCGTGGTTGCCGTTTGACAGAGAATGAAGCAGCACAATATGTCGTTGCTACACTGATTATGAATCGTTCTTTTGTTTCGACATCAGCAGATCGCGCCGTAGCAGTCAGTTTTTTACTTAACAGGGCGGAAAGTTCGGATATGTACCTTCCAACTATTGTAATCTACAATATCAGACACGTTGACATTGGTATTAACTTGGATGTCTTAGGCGAATATCGTGACAAAAAACAAGTATTGAAACCTCCATTTACTGCATTCAAGGTAACAACGGTCAATAGAAGTGTGAAAGAAGCTGAAATATATTTGGATGTGTGTAAAAGACAATAAAATAATCAGTGATTTCTTCTTGATTTCAGTGCCAAATACAATTAATTCAAAACACTTTTGTACATTATTTTCAATGCACATCTCACTGCTGCACCTTGACACACCAGACAACAGTGAGTATTTTTTGAAGCCTTTTTTTCCTTCTTTCTTACGATCGAGTCGTTTATTTTTCTTGAAATGACAAATGTATTTCGTTGAAATAAATGAATAAAACTTCAGAATAAGTTCTGTTACAATTACAATCACCCAAAATACTTTAAATAGCATCGATAGTAGTAAGCAATTATTCGTTGAAATTTCGTATATAATAGAAATGAATATTTGACAGAGATGTCACAATCCCTTGGATACGAGGATTTTGAGGGTTTTGCTCTGTTACGGTATCCGTATCGTACACTTATCTGTATGTTGTATACAGTTGAGGGATATGAGGATTATGAGGGTTTTGCTGTATTACTGTATCCGTATCGTACTCTTATCTGTGTCTTGTATATGGTTCTAGGTTATCACGATTTTGAGGGTTTTGTTGTATTACGGCATCCATACCGTACTCTTATCTGTGTCTTGTATATAGGATGAGGGATATAAGGATTTTGAGGGTTTTGCTGTATTGCGGTACCCGTATCGTACTCTTGTCTGTATCTTGTATATAGCTGAGGGATATATGTAAATGAGGAGGATGTAAAGGATTACGAGCTATAGCGGGTAAATCAACAACTGTTAAATCTTGAACATGAGGATCTTCTACTTGCAATTCAATCAAGTCTTCAACAACATTCTTGTTAGGATCCTGGAGAGATCCTAAGACGGAAGAAGACAGCCCGGTAGTGTAATGGCAGTACGTCCGACCGGTAATCGGAAGGTCTGGGGTTCAATTCCTCAGTCGGGCAGTGGTCTTTTTCCGT